GCCGCCCGTTGCCCCTAGAGGTGGATGCCCGCACATCCCATCGGCACTAGGGTCTCCCGGTCTCTCTCCTTCTTGATCAAGGAGATAGAGAAGAAATATCTCCACAACTCAAAGTGGGGCTCGATCCCTAGGTACCCTTCGCACATCGCGATGAAGGCCGCGATGTGCTGGATCCAGTTGGGGTTCAAGTGCTGTAGCTCGATCTAATAGTGGTGCAGCAGACCCTGGAAGAATGGGCGGGTAGGAACCGTGAGTCCGCGCTCATGGAAGGGCACGAAGGAGACGATGTAGCCATCGGGCAACACCGGTGCATCCTCACGGCCGGGCACAAGCCACTCCACCCCATTGGTCCTCTTGTAGAGAAGACCACGCTTGACGAGGCCCTCCATCCACGCATGGGTAACATCAGAGTGGTACAACAAATCAATGGAGGATGGAGGCAACTACGGAGACGCAAAGGCGGCAGTGGAGAAGCGGAAGCTATAGATCTAGGGCTCCGGCGGTGGATTAGCAAGCATGGCAGATCCAAACAGCGGCGGCAGAGAAACAGAGAAGGTAAGGCTATGATTTTGGTGTGTAGAAACATGAAGGGGGGTGCTATTTATAGGATGGAGCGAGGCGAGAAGGCGAACCGTTCGCCTAGTTTCACGCGTTCGCTGTGCCACGTCACGTCACCTCCCTCCAAAGATCGTGCGCACGCTATCTCTGGCTGCACCCTCGAAGGACACACCAGATGATGGTTCGCCCGATCGATGGGCCAAGAACCGTCGCAAGTAAGCCCGATCGATGGACACACCAGATGATGGTTCGCCCATTCAGGCCTAGGAGTTCGAAGGTTGGCCCACCGACGGGTTCACAGCCACTCTGGGGCACCCTCAGAGCGAGGGGTAGAAAGGGATGGGCCCACTAGCGGCCAGTACCCGGGCGCATGAGGGCCGTGGGCATCCTGGCCGATGTTCGAGTCTGAGTCGGTTCCTAGTCCATGGTTTTTCCTCGAAGAAAGGCAATGAGCCCTTGGGATCGGCCGAACGGACCCAAGAACTATATGGATTGGTCGCCAATGGTCTGTAGTCGGTCACCAGCTGACCCATGCTGGACCCCTGCGAACGGCAAGCCAGGGCCCCACTCGGACTAGCCCGTTAACAGCTCATCAAGCACCATGTTTCGTCCATCGAGGAAAAACATGGCACGGCTCAGCCCCTCCGTTGTATCGAGAAAATGCTTGAGGGATGACGATCACAAAGACAAGCCGACCCTCGACTGGACCCCTGCAACGCACGGGGGCTCGAGGGAAGTTGGACTCGCAAGGAGACCGAACGCGCGATCGCAGTACGACGGCGGACCGATCGGTTCCTAGGCGACCGGAATCAGGACCAATCTTTCCGACCTCCCAAATCCTACGGTTACATGCCCCCAAGAAGACCAATCACGACAAAAGAGAATCACCATCCTACCATGACACGCCATGGGCTACAAAAAGAAGGCCAAGGCCCTCAGAGTCCTCCCGTCCGGAAAAGCCTCTAATAGAGTATTCTACTCCTCCGCAGGCTCGGGGGCTACTGTCGGGCATCGATATTAGGGATACCCAAAGCTAGGAAGTTAGCACCCACGCTGATTTCCCCGGATGGATCAAGACATATTAAAAGGTCTCGCCCAACCCCAAGGTCGCGGGCTCTGTCTCGCCCGGCCCCTTGGGTGTGGGCTCCGTCTTGCCCGACCCCAAGGACGTGGGTTCTGTCTTACCCAAGGCCGAGGGCTCCGTATCGCACGACATCGAGGTCACGGGCTCCGTCTTGCCCGACCTCGAGGCCGCGGGCTCCATCTCGCCCGACCCCTTGGGTACGGGCTCCATCTCGTCGACCCCAAGGGTGCGGGTTCCGTCTCGCCCAAGGCCGCGGGCTCTATCTCGCCTGACTCTAAGGATGTAGGTTCCGTCTTGCCCGACCCCTTGAGTGTAGGCTCCGTCTCGCTTGACCCCAAGGACGTGGTTTCCGTCTTGTCCGACAGGGACCATACCGCCATCAACCACTCCAGGTCCAAGCGTATGGGCCTGGGTCAAAACTCTGACGCCAGGGAAGAGGCTGGCGCGCCTCGATGTAACCCGTGGCCATGATGGGCCATACCTGGGGATTCACATCAAGAACAGTGTCGGACGTGCCGGTGTTGTTCTGCCTAACCCTCGTACGGACGCTGATAGGCGCATCAGTTCACCACAATGTTTACTGGGACGGAGTGGAACGCCATAACCGACATATGACGCTTGCGTATGGCGCCAGTGACGAACTTGGCTGCGACGTGGAGCAGTCCTTGTTGACATCTACAAGATCAGCGGGACCCGCATGAAGGAGAAGAAGGACCCAGCAGCCCTAGAAGCCTTCTTCTCTCTCGTTCTTCTACTTGTCCTCCTCTGTAACCCGAGTTTTCCCTTCGTCTATAAAAGGGGAAGAAGGGCACCTCTATCGGGAGAAGAAAAAAACACAAGAGCACGACACGAGCACACGGCTGAGTGGCAAGCGAGCTCTCAGCACCCGTTCACTCCTTCCATTAGAGACTTGTGATCCTCTCCCTCTCTCACATTTTTGTAACCCCTACTACAAACAAAGTGTCGGTAACATGAACAGCAGCGAACTGGACGTAGGGACGTTCCACCCAAACTAGTATAAACCCTTGTGTCCGCCGAGCACACCATCCGAGTCAGACGCGTAAATACAAATTTACTCGTCGGTGGTCCAAAAATACCGACAATACTAATCTAGTGTCATAAATGTTGATGCCTTTTTCTAGAAATTCGATCAAATATTAAAAAAATTACTTCAGTCAACTCTATAAATTGATTTATTTAGGAACAAAGGGAGTAAACATGTTTTCCATTATGAAAGATCATGCAAGGCTAAGGGGCTGTTTGGTTTTTTTTTTTTATGGTAACAGGAGGGGTTGCTCCCTACTGGGAAAACTTTATTAAAAAGATGAGGCCAAGTACATGTTTCACGAAACAAAAAAAAAGAAAGGAAAAAAATCATAAAAATTACACAAGAGACTGAAGCCATAAATCAATAGTTGGGTGGAACTTTGGGCGAGCTCTTAGTACAATTAAGGCATATTCACTGTTTGGTTTTGTTACCAGCTTTACCTCACCTCGCTTGCGTTACTCACCCATCCTTGCCAGGCCAGGTGAGACATTTTGGCTGTGCTAGCAAGGAAAATCTTGCTATCACAGGCCACGAGGCTCTCTAGCTGATGAACCAAACAAGCTGCTCCCATTCACACCTTTGCCTAGCAAAGCTACACACTGCCAAGCAAGAGATCCAAACACGCCCTAGCTAACCAAATCACAAAGACATGTACGCTCAGCTTGACCAGAGCTCTACCACAAAGCCCAGTCCAAGCCAGGCTGAGGTGTTGTACTATATCGCAAGACGGTTCCCTCGTTCCTATCCAAATACCAAAGCCCATTGAAGATTGTGGCGCCACCGCGCCATTCGTGCGAGGCCCGCGTAACTGGAACCAGTTGGGCCCGCCAGCGTATTTTCGATGTGCCGACGACGTCGTTGCGTCGTGTTGGTCCATTCCGAGTGTATTTGGATCCGTCTTCCATGGCAGAGTCCGGCAGGCGCTTGCAGCCATTTCGGCTCGTTGTTTACCTAGCAGTTCTGTAAACTTTTTGGTACAAAGACATGTTTGATTTGTTGCTTCTCCTAATGAAGTGTGTATTAGTTATCCTCATGAATAAAGATGGGTGATACTTTGCTGAAAAAAAGCCATTTCGGCTCGGGAACGGAATCACAAAACGCCAGGTCAACGTCGCGGGTGCTCCAAGCAGCTGATAGCTAAACTCTGAAGCACCGCCTAGAAGGAAGCCCTGTTACAGCCACGTGGTGCTTTCTTTCTAGCTCTTGTGTACAGAAATATGGATATTGCTACCGCCCGCGTGCGCAGGAGTATCGACTTCTACCCGCACGCCTGCCTCTTCCTGAACTTCCGCCTCTTCCCCGCCTCTTCGTGCCCGGTTCCGGTGACGTCATCTCCGCCGCTGCCCTCCACTACGTGAAAAACGATCTTTAGCAACGGAATAAATTTTTTGTAGGGGCGGTTGGTGATGGAGCCGCCCCTACAGTGGCGTGTTCGAGAGGCCATAAACCAGCCGCCCCTACAAATAGAACAGCAGGGGCGGCTGGTGATACGAGCCACCTCTACAAATAGATCGGGTTTGTAGGGGCGGCTCACTCACCAGCCGCCCCCAGGATTATCATTTGTAGGGGCGGCTCGATCACCGACCGCCCCTACCAATTGCTGCACGTATAAAAAGCCTCCTCGCGTCTCTCACTCCCGCACCGCCTCCACCCGCTCGCAGCTCCCTCCCTCCCTCCCTTGGCTCCGCTGCCCTCCTCCACGCCTTTTCCGCTCAGATCCGGCTTCCCCGCCCTCATCGCCTTCCCCGCGCAGATCCGGCCTCCTCCTCGCCTCCCCCGCCCTCCTCCTCGCCTTCCCCGCACAACTGCGGCGGCGCTGAGCCCCGGCCGAGGCAGTGCACGGGTGCTGGCTGGTGGCCGCCGGCAGATCCGGCCACGGCAGCCTAGATCCGGTCCCCACCCCCACGCCTTCCTTCCTGCCTGCCTGGAGGCCAGAGCGGAGAGGGGACGCTACGGCGACTTGGAGCGGCAATCGATGGGCATGGCGGTGCCGTTGCCGGGGTAGTTGAAGAGGAAGCGGCAGGAGATGCGGGTCCAGAACTGGAGCGAGGTGAAGATGCCGACCTTCCAGGTGGTGCGCGCCTTGCCGAAGAGGTCGAGCGGCACGACGGACTCCCGGAGCGCGCCGGTCCCCATTGCCATCTTGATGCACCACGCCGATCTCCCACAGCCCCGCATCGCCATAGCCTGCAGCCCCGCACCGCGCCCCTCGCCACATCCCGCAGCCCTGCACCGTGCCCTCTCCCCACAGCCCCATACCTCGCCCTCTCACCACAGCCCCGCGGCGCTCCGGCGTGGATCGAGTGAGGCATGGATCCGGCCATCTGTTCCCCAAGGCATGCCTCTCGTGGCGGCGCGGCCAGATCTGCTGTCGACGACCTCGGCGGCCAGGGAGCTCCTCCGGTTGCGGTGCTCTTAGGAGCTTGCGACGGCAGCAACTGGCAGGTGAAACTGTAGATTCGTTCTTCCCCTTCTTGGACAATGCCTCTGCTCAAAGGAAGATATGGCCAAATGTGTGTAAAGAGATGGCTGAATCTGTCATATTCTATCATCTCTATACTAGTAGAGATTAGAAATTTGATATGTATTTTCCTTCTGAAGGATATGATAGGTTTTTTAGTCTATCTGCTCTGTACTAGTAGAGATTAAAAATTGGCTAAGAACATTATGCTGTCGTACTTACAGTTGGTCTTTGAAACTGAACAACGGAGTAAGAATATGAAGATGTTGTGCAGTGATCTGAACTATGCATGTTATCACCTTAAGAAAGGAGAAATTAGGTGTACCATCCTAATCTGTAATAGCTATTGAACTCTGGATGTCTTTTCATATAAGCTCAGTATTGAACTCTACATGTTCTCAGCCTATTCTGTAACTTCATTCATATTGTGGTCACATAGGGATATAGGTTTGGCTCCGAGAAGAGGCTAGCGCATTGAACACATATGTTGTAATGAAGTCTGGTGGCGGCACAGGGCCTGGAGTCCGGATCGATGCCGGGCGTGGTGAGCTCGGCGGCCAGGGAGCTCCTCCTCCTCCGGCGGCTACATCCACTCTGGTATGAAATATTGTTAGTGTCAAGAAAGTAGGAAATATTTTTAGTTTGTTGTAGATGGCAAGCGAAACGTTGGTCTGTTGATCCACCATTTTACCTTGAGTAATAGTTAGTTGTATCCTACTTGATGCTTTCAACTGGAATGCTTAATAACCAAGTAGTGTTTTATTTTTCATTCTTGTTGTTAATAATGATTAGTTATATTTTCTAAGGGAGTTTATTCATCATATGTTGCTTTCCTTTTCAATTTCATTGGTAATGATAATTAGATTTGCTTATAGAGAACAGAAGCTACAAGACGATAGAAACCTGAAGAACATTATCCTGGAAAAAAGATAAAAGATAGAAAGGTACTCATCCTTTCATTATTTTTATAACCTAACTTCTGTGTTTTTCTGCTTTTAATTAATAGAATGTGTGCCAACGATCAACAATCTGAAACTGTGGGTTTAGGAAAACTGTAGGCATCCTTTTGAGCTGGTCCTTCTATGAACGGTCATACCAAGAAAACATATATTTTCTTTATGTCTGATCCCTTCACAATATGTTTTTGTGATGGCAATGTCATTATATCTTTGCTCTTCTGCATATGTTCTTTTATTTTTATTAGTTCCTGCATTTTTTTGTCATGGACTTCAGATTGATTTCTTTTTTGTTTTCGTATACAGGTTCAGTTTGAGTGATCCTTATCTATATAAGTTTAGTATTTCTTCCATCTTATATGCCCAGCCTGCAAAGAAAAAGTTCTGTTTTTTTCTTAGCTGAAGTAGTTTGACTTTGTAGGCAATAGCTCTGACAGATTGCCATGGTGTTCCTGTGAATATTTTCCCTACTTCTATACTTGCTGCAGAGCTGTCATACCTCTATATTTAGTTTTTAAATGTTATATCATTGTTTAAATCCTCATATTTGAAGGGCAGTGTATGGGCTTCATTACCGCCACTTAAAAATGGATCTACAGAGCATCAGAAACCTTTAATATTGGCTATTGCATCCCAAGACTCTGCATCGTTTTTTCGGGACCGTAGTCTTGGTTCAGATTCTCCCATATCTGTAAGTTGCTAGTTTGCTAACGGTTTGCGATTGTCCTATTCATATTATTTACTTATGCCAGATAAATAATTTCTTGAGTTGTTTCACAGGGATTGATTGCCTTGCTCACTGCTGTTGATGCTCTTTCTCACATTCATGATTTAAGCAACCTTAAGAAACAGGTATGATATGACCACTGATTTTGTTTGCTAGTTGCTCCCATGTTATTATGCTGGATATTCTTTTCTCTCTTACTTAGAGCAGGTATCCAGCAAATCTTATCCACCAATTTATCTTTTCTTCTATTATACTTGTCGTGAGGTCCAACCTACTGGTTTCATTCAGCTCGATACACCTGTAGAAGGATTGAGAGAATGGCTGGATGCTGTTCAGACAGCAGGGATACCTTGTGCTGTCGCATCATCCCTTGACAGGAGATGCATGATCAAAGCTTTGGATCGGATGGCACTAAGCAAATATTTCAAGGTGATTTGAGCTACCGTTTGAGCTTTTCAAGTTTATTACTGAATTACTGTTGCCTGAAAAGCATGCTGCTTAGCAAAGTTCATTTGATTCACTTCAGTTGTTGACTACAGGCGATTGTGACTGACGAAGATGATATGGAGTCGATAGCAAATAGGTTTCTGTCAGCTGATATGGACTTGCAGAAGCAGATAATCGAGAAGTCACCTCCCAAGAGGAGGCTGACAGTAGACACCATTTTCTGATGGATATACTTTTTATTTGGTGTCTGCCTGTTGTTCTTGAGTAGCCAACCACCTTCGACATTGTGTGTTGGCATTGTATATAAGATAGTGCTGATGTTAGGTGATCTGCTGTGCCCCTCCTTGTGAATGCAATGCAGTAGTTCCATCAAGGTACCATGAAGAAGACTGCTGCATCAATGTTGCTGTTGATGTAAGCTGATATTATTGTAAATTTAATTTTTTTTTTGCGGAAAAATGATTTGTAGGGGCGGTTGGTACTGTAGCCGCCCCTACAAATCGATTTGTAGGGGCGGCTCGTGTTCCCAGACCGCCCCTATAAATCGATTTGTAGGGACGGCTACAGTACCAGCCGCCTCTACAAATCGATTTGTAGGGACGGCTACAGTACCAGCCGCCCCTACAAATCAGTGATTTGTAGCCACCCTTTCATAGGGGCGGCTGGTAAAACCGCCCCTACAAAGGCTTACTAACCGCCCCTAAAAAATGTTTTTTACGTAGTGCTCGACCCCCTCTAGATCCGGCGTTCTCCCATTCTACTCCGATGGATGCCCACCGCCTGCCACCCACCGCCCCATCACGGGGCGCTAGGGTTTCACCGGAGCTCCATGCCGCAATAGCCTCCTTCTTCCCCTCCCCCGCCCTTCCGCCGCAGCCATGGCCATGGGCGCCCTGCCGCGACCTGGCCCGGCATTCTCCACTGACGCTAGGACCCTAAAGCTGTCTTTCCACCGTCCCCACCATCTGATTGGCCTCCTCTCCCAGTTCTCTTCTCTTCTAAGCCCGTCGGAGTTGGGGAAGAAGGGGATGGTGTGGGCCATCAGAAACCTATCCGACATTGTCTTCTTCGTCGGCGCGGACATGTGGTGGGGCGTGGGCGGTGCCTTCTTCATTGGCGGTGGCGACAATGTGTGAGTTGGCGGGCACGGGCATTGCGCATCTGACGGCCGCGATGCGCGCAACGCGTACTGGACGGCGGCGATGGGTGTGCGCTCCTAGCAGCCAGATCGTGCGTGCTCGAAAGTAAGCATTTCCGCAGAAATATAGAGCCCCGTCCGGGTCTGTCGCTGCAAAATCCCTTTCCTGATGGGCCATCCGCAGCCAGCGACTGCCGCCGTTCCTTGATAAAAAAAAAGAGGTTAGTACTCTCTCCACTTCTCTGTTTTTGCGTCTTTGTTCGTGGCTTGGTACGCACATTTTTTTTTCTGAACATATCTTGCCATTGCTGTGGATAGCTCAATTTCGCAGCAAAAGTAAGCTAAAAGCGAGAGCAAGACAGCATTCGGATGTCATTTCCCCTTTGAAGATGTATGAATACCTGATCGCTGAAAGCAAAGGACTCCACCAACAGGAAGAGCATGGATCAGCTTAGTGAGCACCTGACGGCCACAACGACAATGCCCCCACGCGGCCGCCAACAGCAAGAGCATGGATCAGCTTAGTGACATTTCTAGAAGCTAGGACGCCAAAATTTATCAATCGACATGGTCATGAATATGCTCCAACAAAGCCCAGAATCGAACCCATAAAAATGTTTTTGTTTAGCCATTAATGAACACAAAATCATTCCTACTAAGCCAACTTGCTCAGCAAACTAATGTAGTTCCTATCAATAACAGAGATCTGAGATTTTGACACTCCTTTGCTTAGACCAAGAATTATAGAGATGATTTATACTCCGTGGAGGTTTAATGCCTAAAATAAAGTACACAACACACCATAAGGCTTGTCGTAATGACACTAAAAAAAACGTCTTAGATAGATTCAGACTTAATACAAAAGCAACACGGTTTACGTACTACCATTCTAATTTCTTGTAGCTAAATTATCTTCGATAAGGATAATCCTTTTTTTAAAATACAACATAACACAGTTTCTTTTGAGTTGTAATTTCAAATGCCAATGATCTGTGTAACATTAACTTTGTTGTGTTATTGACAAGATAACTATATATATAGACTTGACTCTGAAAATGCCATCTTTGTGAAGACTCCACACAAAAGGATCCAAACCTTGATTCCGGTTAATAAAAGACACACTATCAACGATGTTGTGCCTATGAGTTATCTTGTTGCCCAGTAAAGATCTCCTAAGGAGGCGTTAACATGACTCGAACTAAGCACTTCTCCAACTATTGCATGTTTTCGAGAAACAAAATTAAATAATGAAGGTTATTGGAATTTGAAAGCTTAGGTACCTAACCACTTGTCTTCGCGAACCTAATCTTTTGTCCACTCCGCAGGCTGAAACACCTTTGGTTTAGGAAATGATCCATCGCACCCATGAGACTCGGCTAAACATGGGAGTCCTCAGCTTTCTTACTAACTTTCTTGAAGTATTAGGTTTCAGACGATATTTGTTTTAGAGCAAATTTTGCCACATGACATCCTTATTGCGCAACTTAGAAAGTCATTTACTTAAAAGACATTTGATTTGTATGTCTAAGTTCTATGCTCTTGGCCCTCCATGTTCTTTTGGCTGACATAGAATGTCCCATTTAACAAATGATATTTCTTTTTTTTATGTTGGTCATTTTGTCAAAAATCTTTGATGTGTAGTACTCTATTTTATTAAGGACTCCATGGGGGACCTCAAAAAAAGAGAGCATGACAACAGTAAACTAGACAAAATCAAAATAATTAGAAAGTCTTCTAGCAACTGAGAAGATATTTTCTTCCCACCACCTAACCTGTTCTCGGTTCTCTCCTCAATGGTCTTCGAATCTTTGTTATTTAGTTTCTTGTAGTGCAATGGAATACCTAACTAGAAGGATAAGAGAATATTTTGTAGCCAAATAACTTTGAGCATTGTGACTCACAATCTCTTGCTTGATCAACACTACTACAAGAATTTTAACCGAGATGGGCAATACAGATTAACCAAGGCGGGCATCACTACAGCCTCAGTCGAAAGGTCACAGTAAATCGGACCTTAATCGAGGCGGTTGCTTTGCCCGCCTCGGTTAGCCAATTAACAGAGGCGGACCACTTAGAACGTCCGCCTCAGTTAATCAATTAAAAAAACAAAATAAATCCACCAACCCACAGGTGAGCCCGTTCCAGAGCCCACTGATGAGCCTGTTCACAGCCCACGAGCCGGATCCGCCGGGAGGAGCCGCCGCCGCGTTGCTCGCCGTGGAGCCCACCGCCGCCGCCTTGCTCGCCATGGAGCCCACCTCATTGGACTCCGCCACCGGAGGGCCACTCCTGTCACCGGATACAGCTGTAGGGGCACGCCGTGGGAGAGGAAGGGAGCGAGCCACCGCCGTAGTGGAGCATGCTGCCGCCTCCTCACTGGATCCGGCCATAGGGGCCTGCGCCGCCGCCGTGCTCCTAGGGCCACGCAACGCGCTCGCCACCGCGTCCCACGCCGCCCGCTCGCTGGGCCGCGCACATCGGGCCCGCCACCCGCCAGAGAGAGAGGAACGGGCGTGTCGCCCGCGATGTGGGAGGGAGGGGCGCCAGGCTGGGGCGCCGGTCCGCGATGAGGGAGGGAGGGAGAGAGAGTGGAGGGAGGGGCGCTGGGCTAGGAAATGAGAGAGAGGAAGCTCGGTGTGCGGCTGAGGGAGGGAGAAGTGTGGTAGAGTATTGAAGAGGTGAAACCCTAACCCTGCGTATATATAAGCCCAATACAGGAGGATTGGAACCATATTCATTACCAACAACTAGCAGGGGGACTGATTGGTGCGATTGTTGTCCGAGTTGTGCAACTCCTTTCCTTGCCCGCTTCTTTCTGTGCCGCCTCAATTGACTTGGTGAGAGTGCGGTCATAGTCCGTTAACGTTGCTTTGGATGGCTTGCGAGATTCCCGCTGTTGTTGCTAGTAAGAAGCCACCTTTTTTCTTAGAATATCTGGAGCTACGAAGAAGTACGGTTTCTTCGGGTTTCTCTGGGTTTCTCCTTGCTTCTTGATCCTTTTTAAGTTTGTCATAGAATCTGGACATATCTTTTTTATATGCATCAGTTACTTCTTCCTTCTCTTTAGATATTATTTTGGGAATAGCCCTTGGTTTCACGATGGCTTTCTTTGCCGGCGGGGGCTGGTTCTTCGTTTGCGGGGCTGGCCTCTTGCTAGTACTTGGCTTCTTGGTAGGCGGGGGCGGGGGAGGCGTTGGAGACCTCCTTGGAGGTGGTGGCAGCGGCGTTGGAGACCTCCTTGGAGGTGGCGGCTGCGGCATTGGAGACCTCCTTGGAGATGGTGTGGATGCAGCCTCGCCTTCCAACACATTGTCATCATACAGAGCACTATGATGATCTGGTGATTGAACAATTGGACTTAGGTTGGGGGAGGATCTGCTACAAAAAAGGAATGACATATTATTATGAGCAGATTGTTAATTATTTAAGCCAATATAAATTAATGATGTAGTGTTTTCATCCGCACCTATGGTGAGGTAGTTCAGGAGGAGGTGGAGGTGACATCCTAGGAATGATGATGTAGCGCTTGCGCCATAGAATGAATGTCTTCTCTGCTTCTCGTAGAGTCTTCTCGCCATCACCTCCAAGAATGTCAAGAGGCAAATCACTAAAACCTTTTTCAGCTTTATCTACCGAGATGGTAGCATATCCTTCTTGGATTATATTCCCATGAATCCTTGGTGTCTTGGTTCGGTCGATAGGATTAACAAGACCGATAGCCACCTTGATTGTGGAATTCCCCTTCGGAATGTGTAGCTCACACGATGTACAAGGTTCAGTGACGTCATCCACAGGGAAGCGCAGTCCTATGTCCCCTTGATTTGGTATCTCCGTGGAAGCGCAACTGCTTTTCAACTGAGCAGGGGGGCTAATGTTGATTCCTGGCTCTGATGCCTGCTTGCTTGCACTCACTGCTATTTGCACTTGCCTTCTGATTTCCTCCTACATTCTCGCTTCAAGGTTTTTTTCCGGCTCCTGTGCTTCACGCACCGCTTCCTCCAACCTCTGGAGCCGCTGTGCCTCTTCTTCCTTCTTTCTCTGGCGGCTTCTGTAGGAAGGTCTGTCCTGAGGGAATCCATGCTCCCA